GGGGGGGCTGAGGGTGGAGACTGGGAGGGGAGCCGGGTGGAGGGGAGCTATGGGGGGGGGGGGGAACAACTGTAATAATCTGAACAATAAAGATTTAATTTAAAAAAGTATACTCTGCAGACACATCTCCACTCCTTCCTCACTGGATGGCTGCCAGCACACACATACTGCCATGAGAAGCTGTGTCTTGATCCACATTCCAAATCTTAATGAATTCCATAATTTCTAATCCCAAGCCTTGGAAGCCAGAAATTTTTTGAAATCCAGAATTTGCAATGGTAATGTGATATATGTCGCATATTGAGAGTAGCGTTTACACATACACATATTGGTCTCTTTCCCGGTTCTGTCCACAGGGATCCTAAACCCTTGTAAATTCCATAGTAATAAGAACACAAGGAGCACCATTTGGTCCAATGAGGCAACTCTGGGTAGGTTCCTGGGTGACTCCTGGGTGAGGGCTGTCACCAGAAAGACCAAGCCATGATTCAAAGCCAGGAAATGTCAGCTTCCACCCCCTGCCCTCCAGGGGAAAGGAATGGAAATTGAGTTAATAACTGATCGTTCCTACGTGAGGAAGCCTCCATAAAATACTGACAGCAGGGGGTTCAGAGAGATTCCAGGTTGGCGAACACATCCACACAGGGAAGATGACGCCTCTAAACTCCTCAGGAATGGAAGCTCTTGCACTCAGGACCCTCCTAGACTTCTTCATCTGGCTGTTCACTGTATTCTTTCTCATACCCTTTGACACACTGGTGAATGTAAGCCAGTGTTTCCCTGAGTGCGGTGAACACTCCAGAAAATTAATTGAACCCAAGAGGGGGTGCTCATTGGAACCTTTGATCTACAGCTGGTTGGTCAGAAGCACAGGTTGCATAACCTGGGCTTTCAACTGGCCTCTGAAGCGGGGGTGGGGGGTGGGCGCGGGGGCAGCAGTCTTGTGGGACCGAGCCCTTCTGTAGGATCTGATGCTATCACCAGCTAAATGGTATCAGTATTCGTTGAACTCTTGAACACCCAGCTGGTGTCTAAGAATTATTTTTTGGTGTGGGGAAAAACGTCTACGTATTAGGTGATCTGAACTCTCAGAAGCAAAATGTTTTGTGTGGGTAGCAAAGGAGACTTGCAGGAGAGAAACACACACTTAGGAAGAAGTGGGTTTTTCCCAAACAGGAAGGAAAAAACCTGAGAGTTTTAACTTTACACATATATTACCCCACCAGGGGTTTCTGGGGCAACCCCCAAAATCCAGCCTACTAGTGCCTCTGCTTTATGAGTACTTTGGCTAAGGAATAAAGAAAAAACATAAACCTATTCCTATCAGGATTGCCAAAGGAGACTGGGGTGTGGGCAGGGCTGGTACCTTCTGAGGGCTGTGAGGGGAGGATTTGTCTCAGGCCTGACTCCTGGTCTTGTAGATGGCTGTCTTCACACTTACATGACAATTTTCCCTGTATGTGTATGTGTGTGTGTGCGTGTGTGTGTGTGTGTGTGTGTGTGTGTGTGTATGTATCTTCAAATTTCCACTTTTTACAAAGATACCGGTCATATTGGATTAGGATCGAGTCCGGTGACATCATTTTAACTTAAGTACCTCTGTAAAGATCCTGTCTCCAAATACAGTCACATTTTGAGGTCTTGGGGCTTAGAAATTCAACATATGAATTGGGGGGAGGGCATGGTTCAACTTAAATTTTTATGTATACTATGAGGTCACTGGGAAGTGACCAGGGTTCAAGGAAGTCTGCTCTAGACCTTATACAGTCCACCACTCTACCTGTTATTGGATATGTGACTTGAGCTAACCTCCCTGGGCCTCAGTTGCCTTGCCTATAAAATTAGAATAAAAATAGAATAGTACAGGCACAAAAACAGACATATATACCAATGGAATAGAACAGAGACCCCAGAAACGGCCCAAGCCATTATGCTCAATTAATATTTGACAAAGGAGGCAAGAGCATACAATGGAGTCAAGAGAGTCTCTTCAGCAAATGGTGTTGGAAAAATTGGACAGATACATGCAAAAAAATGAAACTAGGCCACCAACTTATACCATATACAAAAATAAACCCAAAGTGGATAAAGGACTTAAACGTAAGATGGGAAATAGTAAAAATCCTAAGAGAAACTATAGGCAGCAAAGTATCAGACATATGTCATAGTGAGATCTTTACCAATACAGCTCCTAGGGCAATGGAAACTAAGAAGAAAATAAACAAATGGGACTACATCAAAATACAAAGCTTCTGCCCAGCAAAAGAAACCATCAACAAAACAACAAGAAATGAGAGCATG